GGGGGGGGAGAGAAAACTACAGGAGAAACTTCCCATTGCACGGTCCTTAGGGGGCATGCCATGAAACTGACTCAAACAGGCTCCCCTGGGATTTGGTCCAAGATGGGTCACATTTATATTGAATTCTTATAAGGGCAGAAAGGCTATAGTAAGCCCAAGTCAAAAACAGTTTAGAGCCAAAATGTTAAATCCACCCACAGCCTCAAGCGCTTGTACCTAGTATTCTCTCGAATTACCTTTGAGTCCTTTGCATAATAAAGCGTGCGGCCCCGAAGCTTGAAGTATCGCTTTTTCCACCTTTGGAAAGAACTGGTTTGCTTCAACAGCTGTCCCTCTTTAATACTGGTCTGGAGAGAAGGAGAAGCACAATGACATGATCAAAATGAAATTCAAAACCAAATAAAATTCAGAATTAGTGACACACTATCATTAACATTTTGAATATTGTTTCCCATGTCCAACAAATTACACGAGAGAGTCTTTTCTTCTTTTTGTTCAGCCACTGGAGCACATGTGCAAAGTCCCAAAGAGCAAAGGTAAATTACACATGGTTCCCTGACCTCCAAGTGGTCACAAATGCTATGAAAGGCACAAACACACAAACTAACACTCCCAATACAGTGTGATGCATACAATGATTTGTATATAGAAAGTATTTAGTAAATGGCAAAAAGGGTGGAGGCGTAGTATAACGTAGCAATTTAAAAAGGCATGGGCTTTACACCCTTATGACTATTTTTAAAACTGGCAATTTGTACTTCTTTCACCTTTTTCACCCCCCGCCACACACACACCTCCCATCTGGCAGTCGTCATGAATATAGTCGATAACATGGTAATAATTACGAATGGTGTCAGATGGATACTAGACTTATCAGGGTGATTATCTCGTAAGGAATATAAATGTCTAATCACTATGTTGTACACCAATATTGTATGTCAACTGTAATTGAAAAATAAATTTTTAAAAAAGAAAAACATACGTTCTGGAACCAGAAATCTTGTGTTCAACTCCTGATGTCACCACTTAGTAGCTGGATAATCTTAAATTACTAAACCTCCTTATGCCTTTATTTATTCATCTATAAAATGGGATAACAACTTATAGGGTTGTTGTGAGGAATAAATTAAAAACACATAAAGGAATTATTGCACGGCACATAGTAAGCTGTTGCTAAATAGCATACAGCTAGTCATACTTGTTATTGTAACAAACACACATTCAAAGCACAGTCCAGAAAGGAAGCATAGGCTCTGCCTCAGAGGGATTCAAAGTCCTCCCAGGGAAGAGCCCAGGTGGGTCTTGAAGTTTATCAGAATGACGTGGGATGAAGAAGGGTATTTTAGGTGTGTGCAAAAAGTAGAAAGGTTTAAAGCTGCATGGATATTTGGGGAATCTTCAAAAAACTTTCTGTTATAAATGCAGGATAGGGCTTACAAGGGAAAGAAGCAAATGTAGCTGGAAGAGCTAGGCAGGGGCTCTGTGACTCTGGGCCAGACCCTGTGCTAAGAGCTTTAAGTATCCAAGTTCATTTCATCATCACCAACAAAATACTTGGAACACCTCCAACCTCACCTAGTATCCCTCCCTCACTTGGTCCCCTCCGTCCACAGCGGTGCTTTGCTTTTAGGTGGGCATGCATTCTCCTCCCTTAGGCCTGGATACTACCTGGTCCCTCCGCCTGGACTGCTCTTCCCCCAGATATCCATCTGCCCAAGTCCCTCACCTCCTTCAGGTCCTTGACCTTCTCAATGAGACCCACCTCACTGGCCACCTATTTAACACAGCAACATACTCTCCGTATCTCCCGCACATGAAGTACTTTCCGTCTTCGAATGTATAATGCAACTTACATATTTATTATGTTTATGGTGCTATCCCTTTTAGAATAGAAGGTCCTTGAGTTTATTATATATAATAAAATTAAATTTACTGTTTCACTTTAATTGGAAGGAAGAAAGAAGGAAACTACACTTATAACAAAACAAACTTGCAGCCTTGCTATGAGATTGTTCATAGGAGACAGGTCAGAGGACTGACTCAAATAGATCCCCTTGAGATGGGGTCCAAGATGGACCACATTTACACTGAATTCACAGAAAGGCAGTAAGGATTTAATGAGCCTCCAAGACAAAAACAGCTTATAGAACCAAAATCTTAAATCCACCCCGCTGGACTGCACACTGACATATCGCATGTGTCAAGAGCATTAGCCAGCACATACAATATTGAGATCTATATGAATTTACAGCAGGTACCAAGGTTAAACCCGTATCTGTTTCAGTGCAGAGTTTAGTCCCAACTTTTACACTCTACTGCCTTTTATTATCAACAAGACATAAAATATTGAGAAAAGTTTGTGGTCGCCAATAAGGTAATTAAGTTATATTAATGTTTACTTTTGATTTCAGTAAGAGATTTTTCTCTAGAGTTGCTCTAAGACTGTCCTTCAGGAATTGCTGAGAGATCACTAAAATTTAATCATAACAAAAGACTTTTGAAACTTTAGTACCAAAGAGCCTGATTTGGACGCAGACAAACTTCACGATAGTCTCTGCCACACACTAGCAACACAAACCTGGTCAAGTTACTCCAGCTCTCTGTGCCCCAGTTTCCTCTCCTACAATATGAGACTAACCATAGCAGCTTCACAAGCTTGTTGCATCTAATTTAATCACAAGATAATGCCCGGAGAGCACTTACACTGTCTGGGTTACAGAAAACATTCAATAAATGGCAGAAAGTGTTATTATGATGATATCATTACGCTATTAACTTCAGAGAGTATCTGCCAGGCACCGAATAATAAGAGCTTCTTGGAAGAAGGAACTAAGTGTCTGAAGGCCACTGTAAGGGCAAATAACAGCTGGAGCGGGGGAGAGTGTCAGGAGATGAAGCTGAGGAGGACAAGAGCCAGGAGCTGCTGGCTTTCCATTCTAAGTGCAAAAAGCGAGTGAAATGTTTGCAGCAGGAGAGTGAGAATGGGGAAATGGGTCAGAAACGCAGTGGGGGACCAGTTAAGAGGCTGCTGCAGTAGTCCAAGGGAGAGATCCTAGAAGCTCAAACTAAGTTCCGGCATTAGACATGGACAGAAGTGGAGCAATTCGAGATATCTTGCAGGCAGAATCTACTGACGTTACTGGCAGGCTTGAAGGACAAGACAGAGAAACGAATCAAGGACACTCTCAGCATCTGGTTTGGGCAACAAGATGCAAAAGACTGAGAAAGAACAGGTTATTGGGGAGACTTCTGTGTGAGCTTCACTGTTGCACTGCTCTAGCATCTAATGTTCCCTGGGTAGAGAGTCTATAATCTTTAAATCCAAACACAAAGTATTGAAACGCTGTAAAAATACAACTTACCCAAAGAACCAATCATTTGGAGATTCAAATTAACAGAAGCGAATATATTGTTATTTTTGTAAAAATGTGTTTAAAGCAGTGAGGAAGAAAATTTAATGTTTGTCTCTTTGTGTTCCATACACACTGTTTTAAGAAAGTGTAAATAACCTACTTCATTCTCTACATGGTTATTAGAGTAATTTCCTAAAATAAAAACCTGTTAATATTATGCCACAGCTTAAAACCCTTCATCAGTTCCCTACTGCTTACAGATATAGAGTCTGAACTTCTGTATGTTGCACGGAAGACCCCTGCATAATGCTCTCCAGCCTCATCGCAGGTCCCTCCCCATGCTCCTCCCTCTGCCCTAAAAGTTCTCTCCTCAATCTGCCAGGTCTTGAAAGCTCCAATTCATTTCAACTTGGATCCAGTGCCACTGGCTCTGTGAAGGCTTCTCTGACACCCTAGGAAGAAATAACCACTCCCACCTTCGTCTCTCTGAGGTGCCCATCTTATCCTTATAACAGCACCTCTGACACCGAATGGCATCAGTTTACATGTCTGTGGTACCACCATGCAATGACATTCTTAAGAGCAAAGACTGCATCTTATGTATTTTAATAGCATCACCCATCTAACACAGCTGACACCTTAGGGCCTCCATAAATATTGAAATGAACAGTTTAGTTAAACTGTGAAATGGTATGTAAGGTAACTTTGTATTTTAAAAGAATGAAAGAATTAGAAAACAGGAAATAGTGGCTGGAAATTATTTTATGGTTTCCAGCATTCAGTAGGTCTGAGCCTGCTTCTCTTCACATGTCTAAAAACAAGCAGATACAATGCACAAAAAAGTAAGTGCCTCTAGGAGCACGCCCAGGGTGAGGGAGTAGGAAGAGAGAGGTAGAGGGACAGGGAAATACCTATTCTGATTTTAAGAACATTGCTAATTTAGAGATGATCCTTACATAATCACTTTCAAAGCAGTTAATTTATTTTTTTCTATATAACTTTATGTTCTTCAAATCTTGCATAAGCATGGATTAATCTGCAATGTGTGAGGCTGTGGAGAATACAAAGATGTGTAAGACAAAGCCCTTAATCTTCAATGAATTTACAAATTTCTCTATGTTGTAATATACAAACAGCCTATTTTAAATTCTTGAAGAAAAAGAAAGAAAAAAAAAAACATTCAGAGACTAGCTTGCTTTCCTCTAAGAGATGTGATTTAAAAGATTTAAATAGGAGGCAGTTATTCGCATGAAAGTTAATCCTCAAAATAAACTTGTTTATATATGGCCATTTAAACAAACACTTCTTATAAAAGAAGGAGCATAACAAAAAATGATTAATTTGCAACAGCTTTAACAAATATAATCATAAGTGTGGTTAACAGAAAAACATATGTGGCTCCAAAAATCTCAAAATCATGAGTATACTAAGAGATAAAACAAGAAATCATTCTTTAAAATCATAGCATTTATTACATTCACTATTAATGTTCAATTAGAATAACAAATTGAAGTTAGTAACAGATATAAGAAAGTCATCAGTAATAATTAGAAATCTATTAAAATTAAAGGTTAGATTTATAAATTTATTAATTCCATTCTGTTCACAATCTCTCGCCCCTCCCTCAAAATAGGGCTTAGAAACAGTTGCATTTACCTGCCATTTAGTCACATAATCTGGTTATCTGACTCTTATGAAATATCAGTTAAACCATATAGACTGCAATGTAATCTAATAACACTGTTTCCAAATATTAAATAAACTTCTCTTTGAAAAAATTATTTCAATAAAATAAGCTTTCAGTTGAAGATCACTTATGCAAGCTGACTTTCTGAGACTGTTTTTTAGTCCAGTGTCGTAAAGCCAAGGAACTGCTCATTTCACACCCCTTGCTTAGAACAAACAGAAGTAATTTCTCTTCTAAATTAATCACACAGGTGCTCTGGGATTCCACCTAAAATTTCAGAAACACTTCTGTGCCACAAGTTGA